CCATTTATGAAAGTTGATCTATTTCTCTGTTAGACTAGTTGATCATTAATGCTTTCTCTGTTGTCAATCTTTTGGGAAAATGTATATTGTTGATGCCACCAGTTTTAAATCGGCATTCAAAGTCCGTCCGTGATATTTACTGGTCTCATATGCCTTTATGCTATTTAGATCTACACGCAATGGGTAGCAATTAGCAAAATACCGTTATATGCTCTTTCTACATGTATGTGCAGGTCGTTATCGAAATGAGTATGTTCAGTAATTGAGAGAGAGAGAGTGTCAGAGAGACAGAGGGAGATTTTTCATTATTTGAGGTTCTGAACCATTATCACAAAAGCTTAAAATGGGGACAGAAACCGATGGTGTTATATAAATGGGGCGTTGCGTGAGTGCAAAATGATAGAGAATGCCCAGTTTTAGTGGTTCGCATTTCGCCCTGTTAAAGAGCGCTGTAATGGTTATGGAGACTCTTCCTCTTTCGGCTGTGTATTGCTTGAGGCCGGGCCGGCCCAATGAAAACTGGCCCTTAAGCAAAAGTGTTAAATGGGTCCCTATTAAAATTTATCAAAAAAATAAAAATTGTATGATTAAAATTTTATTTAAAATTTATTATTTTTATTTTTTGTGATGCAAAATTAGTAATCAAATTTTTATATTTGAGGATTGCTAGTATATCTTTTTTAATGGATAATATGAGTAATTCATTCAACCTTTCTTATGCTATAGTTGATTGTAAGTAGAATTTTATTAATCAACGGGCCTTTGGTCCAATGATATTTCTTACCTTGTGAAGATTTTGTCTTCTTGAGGTTAAAGGTTCAAGTCTCTCTCCTATTTACTCTCTCCCCCTCCCAAAAAAAAAAATAGAATTTTAGAATTTTAATTTTGAAAAAATTTGACATATTTCAAACTATAAATTCTTATGAATAAAATATATTTTAAAATAACAAATAATTATACTGAGTGAACAATCTAATATCTTATAAAAGTCGATAAGAATTAAACAATATCACCTAATAAATAAAAATTGTATAAGTATTGAATTGACGATTTGTTTTCCACCCAAATCATCTACTATATCAAACTTTCACAATAAAAAAGAATAATTGCATTAAATTAATTCTGTCAATAAAAATATTAAAAAATTAAATTACTAATCAAGCAAATATGTACCATTTCAATTTAATCTAGGTTGCAAGAGAGAGATACATAATTATGCTATATGAACTTTTTTTATTTAGAGAGAGGCAGAGGAGTGTAGACAATAGATTTTTAGGCTTTAATTGTGGAAAATTAATTTTTGCCTTTTTTAGAACTTTCAAGCCTTCTAATCATTAGAAAAAGTGAGAGAGAGATGTGAATTGAGCCTTTGTTTTAATCTAGGCCTTGTAAGAATTTCCATTAGATTGGGTCTTTTAAACCAAAATTTTTTGAGCCAATTTAATGTATATGTAAAGACTATGCTTATTATTTGGGGGCCTTCTTTTTTTTTGGGGCCATAAGCAGCTGCTCAAGTGGCCTTTCTATTGGGTCGACCTTGGCTTGAGGGAGAAGTGAATATAAGGTATGTTTGGATTACGGGTTAAAGGGGGGTGATAGAATAAAAAAGTAGATGGGGCCCATATATTTCGCGTTTGGTTAGTAAAAAAAGCATCGGAAATGCCACTCGAATTTTTATTCTGACCTGATTTGAAAAGTCAACTTTTACCTATCTACATGGTTTAAATAAAACCCAAGGGGAAACTAAGATATTTTTTTAGCAATTAGGATAATTAATTTAAATTCCTAAATTACCCTATTGTGCTACCCCTTCTAGGTTAGATCACTTCTCCATTCTATCGTTGCTTCCTCTTTTTTCCTTCATCACTTAACCGCTTTTGCTTCTCGTTAGGTAAGTTCCTTTCTCTCTCCATTGACACCAAACTTGTGTGATCAAAACATACCCAAGCTTGCAACTTTTGTTTTTTTTCCAACACGACCTATGTATTCTATTGATGCCAAAAAAAAAAATTCCAGCTAATATATATATTTTTTCCATTTATGCCAATTTTTTTTTTTGCCTACATCTCAGTAGTTAAATGACGTTGCTTCTTAATTTTTTTTGTATAAATGTATTGTACTTGGTTAATTTTGTAAACATTTTATATTGTTAACTTAAATGGTTGATGAGGTGTATTTTTTATGGTTACAATAAATTTTAAAATATTTATTTTATATTTGAATGAGTCGTTAAAAAAATAGATGTGAAAGTGTTTTTTTGTTTGGAATGGCTTGGAGACTAAATTAAAAAATCAAACATGGTGTTGGATTGAATAGAATAGGGGTACAATAGTCGATGAAAACAAATTGCATCTCTCTTATCAATAGGCCCCACAAAAATGTATAATTTATCCAAACAGATGAGAGGACTGGATATACCTATTTATATCCTATCCAAATGACAACTAGGTGGGTTTGAATTATATATGAAAGGATATCTTTTTAGATATTCAATCCACTCCAACCTTGCGATCCAAACATACCCATAGTTAGATCTCTCATAGGGCAATGAATGTGCTCACCATTTATACACGGGTAATTATTGTCTTTATAACAAAAATATCATAGAATATTTGAAGAATATTTGACAGTTAGAAGACCTATTGGCCAAGGTATAACATGAACTTCTAGAAATGATGATCACTTGCCCGAAATAGGGTTTTTAGGTGATAGTTCACTCTTGTCCTTTCTATTAGTTTTCTCGATAGTCAACTTTTAGAATCCCATTGCTAGTTTGGGCATTAGCCCGACACATGTTGATCCGTTTGACTTGGCCACTCTTTGAACTGCAAACCTGACCTGTTCATCATTTAAATTGGTGTTTTCTTCTGGTATCATTAGATACAATATCCATAGGGGTCGTTTAGTTGCAGTATTAAGGGTGTATTAAGGAGTCATAACAACTTAAAATTTTATAATCCAACCTTATATTATGTTTGGTTGTTAAATATACTCTGTATTATATCTAATTTTATTTTGTATACATGTAAATTACATATATGAATAATATCTTCTACTCGTACTATTAAGCCCATTTTAATACCACCTGAAGGGTGGTATTATAATACTGTAAAACCGTATTAAGTTATATTTTACTATTTTGCCCATCAACTAAACAAAAGAATGCATAACTAGATTCGATTGATAGTTTTTAGGTCAATATGTGATTAGTACTCTATTATCCCACTTTTATTCAATGTCTTACCAAACATTGAAGTATAATGAGTATTATTTTTATCCTATATTTAATCTTTGTGTTTTAGTAGCTTATACAGAATTAGTCTATATTAGCTAATACAATCATTTCTCTTATTATACGGCAAGCAAATGTGCCCATGAAGTGTTGATTTTTATTTTTGATTGCTCAAATGAATGTGGAAATAGTGTAATTGGTATAAAGAATCGCTCCACCACGGTCAAAGCTTTTGATGCTCTTTGATAACGCTGCCAACCTCACTATCTTCATGAAATTTGTTGGGCGTACCCTGTCTGCACCATTGTTTTCATTTCTGATCAAAGCTTTTATTACATGATGGCCCTATATGACATGGACAAGTCCTTTCTGGGATAGGGGAGGGAGGTCATTTTCATGTAATCAAGCCAGACTTTAGGGAATTTAGTGAAAGTCTAGTAAGGAATGAGATGTCCGATATGAGGATGATTACCTTTGTTCATCTGTTTTCAAAGGACATTTACACTTCTCTAGTGCTCTTGCTAATGAAAATTTCTGTTATTTCCCATCAAATCTGTAGATATTATCATTGATTACCCTTTTGTCAACTGATCATCAATTTAGCTAGCACAGACATCAGTACCTTCACATCAGCCTCATGATTTCAGAATCATTTGTAAATCACATCGGAGATGTAGGTAGAAGTGACTGCTCAAAGTTTGAGAAGTTTACTGCAAAGATTTCACTTAATAAAGGTTAATTGTTGCTATACATGATGAGCACTAGATGGGGAAGTGGATTTTCCAAGAAGATGCAAGGATGGTTGTTGTTTCATATTATTGTTCAATTTTAGTAATTTTTGATTTGAAGTATTAGTGTTGTTTGTCAATATTATTTTCATGTTAGTGTTTCATATTATTGTTCAATGTTATTGACTTGTGTTAATATTCAATGTTACTATTTTTATTTTGAATGTTAATATTGAATGTTACTATTTTTTAATTAATTTTACAAAATATTAATATTCAATGTTACTATTTTTTATTTTGGATGTTACTATATTATAATATATATGAGAGAAATAGTCCTAATCTAGAAAAGATCTAAAATTATGAGAATTTGAATTTGAATTAGTTTAAATTTGGTTACGTTTGTATATATATGTATATAGAATTATAGATAGATATTAGAGAGAGAGAGAGAGAGAGAGAGAGAGAGAGATTGAAAAAAACTCTAAAATTTATGAGTTTTTGATTTTCAAATCTGTTTTGATTAGATGTAAATGCTGGGATTATTTTGAACAATAGAGATTGAAATGGACTTAAACTAAACAAAGTTTTTGAGTAAACTTTTTGTCAAATAAGTTTTAAAAAGTGGACCGACCCCCAAATTTCCCAAAAATCGGATTTTGTGAAAAAATAAAAAATATCAAAAAATCAGGTCTTATTGTATTATGCCTTTGGATTATTTATTTCAAGCTTCCATTAAGTGGATTATTTAAGATTTAACTCTGTCATAAGAAATATTAAGTAGATTAGCAATACTATTATTTGAAAAAGATATGACAAAGAAACTTAATTAGTGCTTTTGCATCTCAAAAAGCGAGAAGAATAAATTTTAAATAAATTATTATTATTAAAAATAAAGACCTTTTTATTAATTGTCGCTTTAGGCCCCAAAATGTCACAGGATGCCCCTGCACCAATTCGACCCGACACAAAATCGATCGTGTCGAGTTATTAGAATTTTAAAAAAAAAATTATATTTTATAATACCTTTTAATTTCTTTTACATAGTATTATATAAGTTGTTTTAGAATTAAATAATTTTTTATTGACACTAATACGACATGAATGAAAATGACACAACTCTCAAGTCTCAATGACACGACACAGCAACATGAATTGACACACCTACTTTCTACACTATTTTCTCTTCTTACCCAGTTTATGAAACTTTACATTCGATTTTGTTGGAATGCTACGTTAAAATCTTCAATGTATCTAATTATTGCGGTCTGAGTTCTTGCATCAGCAATGGCCCAGAGTACATTGGAACTAGGTCAAGGTCAGGAGATACTTAAGCTGTTAGGAGATAATGATCCAGGATCAACCGTTGTTCTTGTTGGAGAACCTGGAATTGGAAAAACATGGCTTGCAAAAAAGGTGTGTGGTCAAGCCATCAGCAATGGCACATTTGGCATAGTCCTTTGGGCTTATCTGGACAAAGAGTATAACGAGCTAGCTATTGGCAAGAGTTTTGTTCGTCAAATGTCTCTGCTTTCCACTACAAAGGGGTGGGAAAAAGAAGATAACGAGGAGGTAGAAGAGAAAAAAGAGGAAATCTTGGATGACTTGATGCAGAAAATATCTGACAATGTGGAAGGGAAGTTGCTTCTAGTTTTGGATAATGAGGGCAGCAAAATGAATGCAGAAGACTTTATGAAATTGCTGAATAGCATGAAATTTTCGCCAAAACCAAGCAAGGTGTTAATCATTTCGTGTGATGCAGATGGAAAACACGAGAATTCTGATTCTTTCCGTACAAAGAAAGTAATCAAGATCCAGCCCTTGTCTCCTGAAAAGTTATTATCTATATTCCGACAAACAGCTAGGACAGAAGTTTTGGAGCCACGTGTGGAACAGTTAGCTGACGGTTTCATCAAGAACAAAGTGGGTTTAACACGTGCCAAAATTGTCTTGCTAGCAAAAGCCTTAAGCAATGGAGGAATTTCTGCAGTGCGACTTCTGGAACGTGCTTTGGAGGAATCATCTGGCGATGGGAGCTGCAGTTATACAGAATTACTACACCGTGGTTATGACAGGGTGCCTGATGGTGTTTTATTGGACTGGTCCTGGCAGGGCAGCCATTTTTTTCAAGATCGTGAAAGCATTCATTTCGGTGAGTTCATAGCTTGCTGGATAATGGAAGGATATCTTGGTCATATTGATAGTATTGAGAAGGCTTATGAGGAGGGACATCGTGTTCTGATGGAGCTTATAGATTGTCAGATGCTAAAAAAAGTTGATGATGAAAACATCAAGGGGGATTACTTAAGAATGGCAGGAGCAGTAGTGGATCTGGACAGGCGCCATTGTTCTGGATTTGGTAAAACAGCCAGTCTGGGATTGGCTAATGTCTTCGAGAAGGGCCAGTGGGATGGTATTGGTGAAATCGTGCAGGCTGATGGCATGTTGAAATCAGTTTCCAGTGGCAAGAAGGAGAAGAAATGCTCAACGTTACTGCTCGACGGAAACTGTCTGAGCCTGGAAGTCTCAACTAAAATCCTTCAATCCGAAGAGGACCTTCGAGTTCTCGCCCTTTTCAATCCCAGGCTCATCACAGTCCCATTGTTGTCTTCCATGGAATCGCTTAATGTGCTTGTGCTCAGGGGATGCAATTTGTTGGAGGACATCAGACAGATCCAGAATCTTAAAAATTTATCTGTTCTGGAATTTCAGGAGCTAGGTCATTGAAAAATATCCCGGATAACATCTTTCACCAAATGACCTCCCTTCGAAGTCTTAACCTATCTGGCCTTCAGATAGAAGCGTTACCTAAATCTTTTGGTGTGCTTACAAAACTTCACTGGCTCATCCTTAAGGGCTGTTCTTGTTTGAAACAAATGCAGAGTCTGAAAAATTTTGAAAAAACTTGTGGTCCTTGATCTTTCTGGTGCTACTTCTTTGGAAAAGTTTCCAGAAAAAAACATAAAAGCAATGAAGAATCTTATAAACCTTGATCTTTCCAATACCAACATTAAAAGCATACCAATTCTTCGTGATATTGGAGCTCTCACTCATCTCTTTGTAAGGGACTGTCAAGGCGTAGAAAGACTGCGCAGCATTAAGTCATTATCCAAACTCCAAGTTCTTGATCTTTCAGGTTCTAGCATTAATGAATTTCGTGACCAGTCATTAGAACCTAATGTTGACCTTAGTACTCTAGATCTATCCAGAACGGATTTATCTTGGCTACCTTCCAACATTAGCAATCCTCTTCAGCTTATTTGAAAGGTTGCCTCCAGCTAAAAGAACTTCCGTACATAGAATCACTGAAAGCCCTGGAGGCACTTGATCTTTCAGGTGCCAGGAATCTTGAAAAGATTGATGACAATTTCTTCAAAATTTGAATAACCTTCAAGTTCTCAACCTTTCAGAAACCAAAGTCAAAGTTCTGCCACCCCTTTTCACTCTTTGTAACCTTCGTCAGCTATTGCTTTCGGGTTGTTTTGTCCTTGGAGAACTTGCCAACCTTGAATTCCCTTAGCAAACTGGAGGTTATTGATCTGTCTGGTTGTGGTGCTTTGACAGTCATAGAAGATGAATCTTTTGAGCAGATGTCTTGCCTTCAGAGCTTCTCCCTCTCTGATGCAAAGATTGAAAGACTTCCATCCCTTTCAAACCTTAACAACCTCCGCTACCTCTCATTGAGAAAATGTACTAACTTGAAATTAGTGGTTGAACCACTGACCACTCTCTTAAGTCTTGAGGAGCTACATTTATGTTGTATCAGTTCCTTGACTCAAGCTGATTTCTTGGAGCAAATGAGTCACCTTCATATTCTTGACCTCTCTGAAACCCAGCTTGAAAAGCTATCATCCATGTCAAATCTAAAAAACCTTGTTCATCTTTCTCTGAGGGGTTGTAAGCAGTTGCGCACAGTGCAACACTTGGAAGCACTTACAAAGCTTGAGATTCTGGATCTTTCGGGAACTGCAGTCATGCATCTGCCATCCCTTACCAATCTTAGCAACCTCCACCAATTTCTGCCTAGTAATTGTTTGAGCTCAGAAGAGCTTAAAAATCTTGAGATGCTTGATCTGTCTGGAGATGTTATCAAAGAAGAATCAACTGACCTTGAGAACCTTGATCTGCCAACATGAGCATTACAGGAGCTGGCAGTGGAAAGATACAGAGCTTACCTGAAGAGCAATGGGGCATCTCCACTTTGCCTGGACCAAAA